ATGAGTAGCAAGGACTCTGAGCATTGGCTAGCTGCAATGCATGATGAGATGAAATCTTTGAGGAAGAATAAAAATTGGACCTTAGTTAAGAGACCTAAGGGAAATAGAATTATAGATTGCAAGTGGATCTATAAAATCAAAAGAGGTGAAAAAGTTGAGAACGACATTAGATATAAAGTAATACTTGAAGCTAAGGGTTTCGCTCAAAATGAGGGGATATACTTTAATGAAATATTTTCGCTCGTTGTAAAATTTACAATTGTTAAGTCATACTAGCTCTTGCAACTCAATTTAATTAATAATTGGATCAATTAGATGTAAAAACTGAATTTTTAAATGGGGATCTTGAAGAAACTATTTTTATGGAACAACCTAAAGATTTTGAAGTGAATAAAAATTTAGACTTAGTATGCCTTCTTAAAAAGTCACTTTATAGTTTAAAACAAACTCCAAGACAATGGTACAAGAAATTTGACAGTTTTGTGCTTGGACTTGATTTTAAAAGAAGTAATTTCGATACCTGTCTTTATTATAAAGGAAACGGAGGTAAGAATTTACTCTATCTTCTACTTTATGTAAATGACATGCTTTTAGCAAGTCATGACATAAAGAAAACAGAATCAATTAAAGACAAATTAAAATTAAAATTTGAAATGAAGGATTTAGGTCCTGTTAGAAAAATTTTGGGTATCGAAATGAAAAGAAATAGAAAAGAGGGCACAATAAGTCTAAGTAAAAAATCTTATACTTTGAAAGTACTTGAAAGATTTGCTATAACTAGTGCTAAAAGTGTGAGCTTACCTTTAGTAAATTACTTCAAATTATCTAATGATCAATGTCCCAAAACTGAAGATGAGTTTAAAAGAATGGCTAGAGTGCCATATTCTAATGCTGTGGGGTCAATTATGTATCTAATGATTTGTTTTAGACCCGATTTGGCCTTTGCAATAAGTGTATTGAGTAGATACATGTCTAATCCTGGTGAGGTTCATTGGAAAGCTATGAATTGGCTTCTAAGATATATTAAAGGAACCTGTGACCTAGGAATTTAGTATAGAAAACAATCTGAGGGTGCGATCTTGAGGGGTTACATGATTCTGATTATGCAGGTGATATGGATAACAGAAAATCTACTTCTGCCTATGTGTATACTTTATGTAATTCCTGTATAAGTTGAAAATCACAATTACAAAAGATTGTTGCATTATCTTCAATTGAAGTAGAATATATAGTCGCTACTGATGCAATTAAAGAAGGAATTTGGCTAAAAAGACTTTTAAATGAATTTGGTTTCATAACTGATGGAGTCTTACATTCCAATAGCCAATCTGCTATATATTTGAGTAGAAATCCTATGCTACATAATAGAACAAAAGATGAGGTGAAATTTCAATTCTTAGAGGTGTAATTTCTTGAAGTGTCGTTAAACTTGAAAAGAATTCTACACAATTTAATCATGCTAATGTTGGAACCAAAGTGTTGCCTTTAAACAAATTTTTGGGCTGTTTAAAATAGTCGAACATTAACTTTTGTTGATTTGTGTATCAAGAATAAGAGCAAATGATATTTAAACTGGAATCACTATAAGAATGATGGGATCATTGTACCAAGGTGGAAAATGTGGCACAATGATGTTGGGTTGGCCTGATAAACTGTTGGGCTACTGGGCCGATTAGTCTAAGTGATAAAATGGTGTCAGTTAACATTGGCAAAAACCTGTGGTTGCTGAAAGGCGTTTTCCCTTTATTTGAATGGATGCTTATGATTTAGCCAATTGTTTCCTTATTCACCGTTGGATGGAAAGATCTTCTAGGGTCTTCTATATGACTCTCATTAGGGTTTCTGGCGGTGAGACTTTTGATATGATTCTCATTCCCTGCCTCTCGAACTCTCACCGAAGCTGTACATCTCCCATCTCCAAAATCAGTCCAGAAAGCCTCCTTGATCTGAAACTTCCAGTTTGAATAAATCTTGAGTTATTTGTAAATTGTGAAGTTGTGATTCTTGAGTGAATGATTGTATCAAAAGAGGGGCTAATTTTGAAAGAATCTTGAGTGATTATCTGAGTGCCATGAGTTGTATTTGCTGGATGGTTTCGTCGATTCCATTAATATAGTGATTTCTTCCGGTGGCGGAAGCTCAAAAGGGGATTAGAGATTTCGGTTTCGAACCTCTTGCCTGAGGGTGAAAAATATAGTGTTCCTTTGCGTTCTTATGTTTCTTTCAGTTTTATATTTTATTATTTCATATTTTTGTTGATTAAAGTTGCCGGACTTTGGTGAACTTATCGGAACATTCATTATGAATCTGTGATAATAAGAAGGGAAATTGTGATGGATGGAAGCTTTTGTATAATGGAAAATGTAAAATATGGTTTCTGATTTAAGCTTGTCAATTTTATTGAATCTTGCTTGAATCATAATCAAAGTTGGAATGGCGAGTTAGGAGATTCGAGCACGTTTCCATAGCCTTGAACTTGAAATCTCGGTATAATATGTTGAAGGGATGGATGATGAAAATTAACGTTGTACAAGGACAAATTCTTATTTGAACAGATGCAATGTGCTTTCGAATTTTGTCATAACATTTCGTTTGCTAATCCTAGACTGGATGTTACAAAATTGAACTGATGCAACATATAATTAATGACATTTCATTTTGACCTTACCTATATGCACACAAGTCCGACACCCAAATGGAAACATGTGGGGTGCTAATCGAGCTGTTAGTCCTGAGCCGAAAGACAACTCAAATGCCATGAAAACGACGATAGAAAAGGTCGACCCAAAGTAACAGCAAAATAAAGCTTCATCTATCTAAAACATTTACTCATAGTCCTATGAACGTTGTGCTAAATTGCAAGTGCACAATATATTAAAACTAAAAATCTAACTAAAGGCAAAGAGAGTCAATTGGTTGGTTGAATTCAATAAAATTGAGATATTAGGACTTGATGATTTTATCGTAGCTTATTTAGTTCAATTCCATATGTATGAACTGTTGGAATCCAATTCTAATATTTGAAGATACAGCACCGACCTTAAAGAAAACTCTAGTCTAGAGAAAAATATAAAGTGCAGCCCATTTCTTGAACCTTATTCTTCAAGCAGTTGGGAACAATCCAGAAAAGCTGCTATATCCACCGCCAATTGCAAGACTAATTTAACCCATTTTCACCGCCGTATTGGAAGAAACTAGAAGGCAATTCCACTGACATTATTGGGTATAAATAGGAGTCTCAGCCAGCCATGCAGAGGGTGAGAAGAGCAGAGATAGAAATTGAGAGAAGCAGTGAGTGGAGTGAATTTTTCAGTGTATAATATAGACTGAATGGTGGTGAGATAAGAGAAAAGCAGCATAGAGAGAGAAGAAAGAATTGAGGGAATAGTTAGAGAAAGTGGCATGAATGTTTTGGCAGTATGAAAAAGTTGTTTGGAGACATTGGGTGCGTAATTCCATTGTGTTGTGTATATTGTTAATAAAATAATTTATTTGCCGAGTAATATTTTTTATGTTTATTCATCTTTAGTTTTTCGAAAACTCGAGTATATGTCGTGTTGATGTTTGACATGATAGAAACTTAAGGCGCCAAGCAAGGCCGGGAAAAGATGCTTGAGCGCCAATGAGTGAAGCCCACCACCCTTGTAGTGCTTGAGTTCTGCTCAAACGTTCTTAGTAAATATCTGGGTCCGCCCTTTTGTGTGATGTTAGAACCGGAATAGGAATTTGGATGATTGCTAATTGGGCAGTAATCAAAATTCTAAAAATATTTAGTTAATTAAATTAAACACATTGGTGTTAAGTACATTACCCTTGAAGCGTGTTTACGCTTTTTCTCAATTGTTGTATCCTCGAACCTCCAAAATCATCTTCATCGCCATCACCCAACTCCAAAATCTTCTTCGATGGTGGTAATAGTAGTGATGATGGTGGTAATAGCAGTGATGATGGTGGCTAAGGTGAAGGTTCCTCCACCAACGAATAGGTTGGGTTGTTTGAGTGAGCCGGTGGGTAGCCGTTGGAGTTGGGTGGTTGTGTGAATTGAGAAAGATAAATATTTTTGTCAACTCACATGTTTTTGGATGAAGAAGTCCTTAGGACACATTTATTAAAGGTTTGGGACCTCTATTGCAAATGTTTAAATGTTAGAAATTTCCCTTTTTTTAATTAATATAATAAAAAGGTTAAAAGATGAGTTCACCGTTTTTAAAATTGATCAGGTCAAATGCTGACTAGTCAATCTAGTCATCTTTATTAGATGAACTAAGAATATTTATTTTGTCCATTTTTTGGTCCGACTCAAGTGCAATTTCTTGCAATTAACGAATTTTTGGACAAAAATCGTCCTTTGACCTCACAAATTTGAAAGTTTTGAAACCAAAACTGCTACAAATCAAAAGTTGGAATAAAATTTGCAAATTTAGGTCCACAATTGCAATTATCCCTAAGAAAAATTAATCATTTTGTCAACTCGCTGGGCACCGGACACTGCAAGTTCCCCGCCCTTCTTTCTCTCTCACACGCACACAGTTTGAAACAGAAAAAATTCAAAGAAGATGGGGGCACCGGTCAAACACCGAAGCGTGGCCCTAATAATCCGGCATAGTGGGCAACAGTCTGGTCCACTATGCTAGGAATGAGGCGTTCAATATTAGCAATGGGGACGCATTCGAGTGGGAAGCATTTCTGGAGTTTGTCGGCTGAGCAGTTTGAGGTTGAAAGTAAAGAATTCGGGAATTCTAAGAATTTTTTCTTTACGTGGATCGAGAAGATGAAAACATACAAGATTGTCCCTTAATTGATCTTCGTCTATGCGTTCTTGTGGTATTTGCATGCTACCTTAGCCTCTCGTCTCTGTGTTTTCTTGGTGTATGATAATATAACTTCAGTTTTAAAGAATATCAGGGCAAGAAAATGAATAATTCTGAAAAGAAGTGCTCTTCTTTCTGAATCACTCCGCAATGCGGATTATAATGTAGTTGTAACACAAAAAGCATGGAAAAACATCCAAAAATCAAGCAATTGGACTGACAAAATGCCAATTACAACTTTAGTAATTCTTGAAGGTATGACATACGCTATCTAATTGAAACTCATCAAGTTTTCTCTAATTACCTCAATCACTACAGGCGAACTCTGTTGTTCTTTCAAGGTGTCAAAGCTTGGAAAGTAAGAATGCAAGATCCTCATCAGAAACCTTCACATCAGTTGATGCTTACACTGAAAATTCACACATTAACGTACAAGCTACATATTAAGCGTCGAAACAAGTAACTCAAAATTATGGAAAATAACACGAACCTGTTCCCCTCTGTTCACAATGTCATAGAAGAATGAAAACAAGAACAATGGATTTCAGGGAAGCATAAATATTCCTCCTTCCTCTGGGATATCACCATTTTCGCATTTAAAGAAAGACGGGAACTGCGATCAAGCATTAATGACAATTACTCCAATCTCCCCTTCAACTCTGTTTATATTTTGATTAGACAGTCTCAAGACCGAGTAAAGGGGATGGTTGCAATATGCTAGCGGCCAACATAAAATTTGGTGAAATCTTATGATTCAAATTCTATTTCAAAGTCTCATTAGCCAATTTAAAATTTATTGAGACTATACTTAATGCATTTCCAAGAAACTTTTTAGATAAAGAGCATCAACACCGCGGGATTATATTAAAACTTTGATAAAACAAACAGAACATTGGTAAAATTGAATGAAAATGAATGTGGATATGAAATTCGAAAAGGAACAAGTTGAAAAAATGACATTTTAATCCAAAATTTGCAACTCAACAGTAGAATACTCAGCATTAAGGGCGACTAGAAACTTTTAAACATTTGAACGAAGCAAGGAATTCGTCCAAAACATTTGGAAGGCCACAGTTAATCTTGAAGAAAGGAGGTTATGCCATAGATGAAATAAATTTAAAAATGTTGTAAATAAAGTAGTATTTGTAAATGACTATTATATCCTTACAACCCTAGGTATTATGACTACTATATTCCTTGGAGCTTCTTCCCTATAGATATGGGACTTTGATTTTGAATGAAATACACACAAATTTATTAACTTCTTTATCTTCTTTTTTCTTTAGTTCATAACATGTTATCAACATGATTCTCTAAAATTCTAACAAATTAGTTTGAAGGTAACTATATCCAATCTCAAATCATACGCATTATATTTTTTCATTGTCGCATACATGCATAATTAATATTTTTACAGGCGCGTTGGAGATTGTATGCACATCTATATTCAACACAGCTATATGTATAGGGAGATGTTGGTTCCCCGCCTATAGGGGGCGCCATGTGACCCTATACAACTAGCTTTACTCATATGTATATCCTCTTTTTGCGTGAACTTGAAGGTCTGTATTCAACCTCTTGCCCGCGTGAATTTATTTTATATATGTAGATCTACTTTTTCGATTCACAATAATATGAAAAGGAAATTTTCACAATAATATATCTACTTTTTCGATTCAATTTCCGCTAATGATCTCAAGTCAATTCACATATTCTTTTTAATTTTTCTTCTTTCTTATGTTTTTAAAATGTATGTGTTTATGATGATTATTGAATACTCAATGTGTCTTTAACCTGATTAAATATTTTTAGATTTTTTTTATAAACTTTAAATTCATAATTTATAGGCCCTGCTTGACACACATTTTGTCAAAAAATACATTTTTAAACAGTGATTTGACATCATTTTAATAACACATTCTTCAATATAATAATATTACACGTAAATTCAATTTTTTTTTATTTTTTAATTATATATTTTCCATCAATATACTATTCAACAATGCATTCTTATGAAAATAATATGGCTCAAACCACGGCATAATATTGTTGCTCTTCAAGAAGCATAAATATGCAAATATTAATATTCTACTAGATTACATACTATTGAAGAGTTAATATTTTTAAATAATAGTTTGTTGATGCTTCTAAAGTAGCACAATATCATTAATATTTTAAAGGAATATTAATTACCCCTGAAGAGCATGACATTACACTTTCAATATTCCCAAAGAATGTTGACCTATTGCTCCAGAACAAACATACTTTATAATATATTAGAAGAATATTGCATAATTATTTGAATCAATTTATAATAATTAATATTCTAAAATAATGTTATTTTATTATTTTTGAAGAAGGCAATATAACACAAACAAATTAGGGGCGGAGCCAGAATTTTAGTTTAGCGCCGGCAAAAGTTTTTCAATGCCGGACGTTGAGGTTTTGGTCATAGATTTAATGATCCAGTGCAATTCAGTTACTCAATAAATCCAGCGCAATTCACAACTTCATATAATCAATTTACATTCCAATTCACACTTTCACATAATGAATTCACAATCACAGTGCAATATATACTTTCAATCCAGTGCAATTCACAACTTTACAATGCAATATATACTATTTTCCAAGTTTCAACTTCCAATTGACAGTGTAAGCAACTTACAATCGCATATTTGTAGAGAGTCAGATGCAACAATGAACTGGTCCACTGGAAGTCTGTGCCAAAATCAATTGAAGAGCAACGTGTACGAAGTGCTGCTTTGAGCAATTAAAGAATAAAGCGCTAATTTCACATGCTAAGAACAAAAAAAATATTATTACAATTTACACAAATCAAAATAACAAAAATAAGGAAAAAAATTCAAAGTCACTGGTGGAAATTGGGGCTTTACCTTTTTATTCTGCTGGCTACCCAACCGATTCAAAAATCAAAATCACCTTCTTCTGTTACAATGTAATGAGCGATTGGCGGAGCTGCTGTCATGCGCAGGCGTTGCCTGCTAGTCTGCAAGACTACAACGATCCAACGGAGATCAAAACTCGGAGCCCGAGAAGAATGTAGAGTCGGTCGGAGATGGGAGCAAGTCTGACCGGCTCCAGGAGGACGTGCCGTCGAAGATGGGAAGGGGAAAGACAGGCAGTGATGAATAGTGCGAAGGGACGAAGTCACGAAGGATTGAAGTGATTTTGTGATTGAATCGAAGAGTAATCAATTGAGAATTTGAGAAGAATGGGTCACAAGATCCCTAAATGGGTCAGAAGCATTGGGCTTATGTGTATATATATATATATGCCCAAAAGTTCAGTGCGGACAAATTTTCAAGGGCGTATATATATATATATATATATACCCAAAAGATCAGTGCGGGCAAATTAACTGGGCTCCGCCCTTGAAACCAATTATGATCATTCTTGAAGAATATTAAACGAAGATTTGATTCGATATTTTATGAGAATTTTATGTTAGTATTTGTTATTCACTAAATATAAAAAAAACTTTACAAATTTCTAAAGTCCGTGTGTTAATTAGAATAATAGAATTATACATTATATTAAATCAAAAGTTTAATTTAATTTTATTATTTGGCATGATTGATCAAACCACCAGATCAATAATGATGCGAACAATATTAAGAATTTGAATAACACACAATGAAGAACTAAAAGATTCTTCAATCCAATAAATTCACATATAATACTTGTTTTTGTATTGAAATTTGTTCATCTACCATCACTAGCTACAATTGGTAATGCCTCCCTAAAATCTTCAAAATTAATTAGGGCGATATATGGGGGTTCTGCTTCCCTTTATGCTACTGATATGATATTATTTGTATCTAATAGATATGATATATTTACTAGATGATTTCATGTTATTCGCAATTTAAAGTTTGCGAATTTATTGCTCAAATTTTAAATTATGGACATAATTTTTAAATTATACAATCAAGGCGATGTGTCTTGTTAATGTCGATGAGCTTAAATCTCAATATTTTAATAAATGTAATTAGGAATATCGATAAATATTCTAAAAGCATTTTCAAGAAACTCTTTATTTTTAAAGAAAACATTTAATTTTACTACTTCCAATCAAAAATATTTATTATTTGTCTCTATATTTTATTTTAATTAGTTTTACTCTAAATTATTTTATTATTTTTATATATTGAAAATTGAAAGACTTTGAATACATTTAATTTTACATTATTCTAAGTTTTATGCCATTTATATGTTTTTTTAAAGATTTTTGCATTTTCAAATTTGTATTAATTTATTGTGCTTGCATATGATAATTCTTTTTTAAAGAATTTCATAAATATAATTTTCCTTTTTTTTTCAATCAACCAATAATACTAGTATAATTTGGGGTTCTCACCTAAGTGGGACCTTAGGCGAGGCCCACTCCGCTTATAGTCAGGGCCGCCACTATATATCCAACGCCGGGATTCACAAACGCAATCTGCTAACTCAACCCAAAGTAAAATAGCATTCGAAGAACAAAAAAATTGGTTATTTTCTGTTAGAATCTAATGCAAAACCTTGCTTTTTCATCTCAGCATCCAATATCAATTATAAGTTTTATTTACAGCAAACCTGTATACAAAAATACCAATTTTTTGGTTTCAACACCGGAATAATTCTATTTAGGATACTGCCAATATATGCCGAGACTCCTCGTTGGCGAAAATCTTGTCAACTGGATTTTCCTCCACTTCATCTGAATTATAGGAGAAGATGTCAACAGGGGCACTTGTGCTCCCAATAGACCCAATAGACCCTTGCTTGTGTTTAGGCCTTTTATGATGATCGTGATCCAGATAGATCACAATCACAGTAATATCATCATGGAAATGACGCCTAACTCCCTTTTCGATCTTTCTAATGTCCTTGTATCTCACCTCCCTCTTCTTTGCCGCCTTGTGAATGGCAGCTTCGACTAATCGTTTGGCTATACCCTGTAAAATTTTCAGAGCAACGACAAGCAAGTCAAACTCTCTGTTCCAACCAAAAACTTTCGAGAAATGACTGGCCGAATGCTAAACAAGAACAACAATGTTATATCTCATAATCTAAAAGCTGATGCCTTGCCATTGTGTTTTAACTGATTGAGCAAATGAATTCTCATTCTTGTTTCATGTTTTTAACAAGAAACGCCTCATAAAAATGATAGAAAGTGATTTGTAGAGTAACATAGCATTTAAAAGCAATTGGGAATAATACGAGATCCTTGCAATCCTAATACAGTGGTCTTTATATAGGAACAGCTAGTAAAGTAAATGATGAGAGTAAAATGTAAGGCAAAAACTGGAGGAAAACCATCCACGTGTTAGTGTCTGTGCTGAAATTGTATCTGTAAAAGTAGCAGGGAAGAGAGACTTACAGCTCTAGGGTATTTAAATACGATATCCACTGCTTCTTCATCACTGAGATGCTCCCAGAGGCCATCTGAGGCAAAGATTATGAACAAATCTTGTGGCCTGAGCTTCCGAGTTACAATTGACGGTTCAGCTGTTAATAGTGGTCTCTTCAGAGGAACAGGGTTTCCAAATTGTAAGAAAAGTGGGTCTCTGTTAAAATCAGGCTTTTTCAGATAGACATCGCCAATAGATCTTGACACCTGGAAATTATAATTGCACAAATTAGCATCTTACATGACAGTTTGACAGTATAAAAAGAGAAGAGTAAATAGAAACAGTCAATAACAGATATACACTCGATTTCTACCAACACAATGCAAACTCTAAATTATAAGGAAAGAAAAAGACTAGATCCTAAAAATTATATGAGCATCATGCAAATTTATAGCCATCCGGATGGACAAAAACAAAGGCAGAGGACTAAAATTTCACCAGAATCACAATACTTTGCCCTGTAAGATCTTCAAGGACATCTCATGAGCAGAAGGCCCATAATTTCAGCTGCATGAGACATTGGGAAGAGAGGCAGAGAATGTGATTTCTGTATGAGTAGAGAAGATATGGCCCTTTAGAAAATGAATATGCGGCACACAATAAATGAATTATACGTGACTATTTTGGATAGTCCAAAGAATAAAAGATAATCATCTTTCAAAGAAAAATAGAAAGGGAAGTGTAAACATTGAAGCAAATGATTTTACAATATGTGACATAACACATATTCGTGCCAGTACCAAAAGCAAATTTGCAATGTGCGATATAACACATTCCAGTACCAGAAACACACAGGTGCTAGTATCTTTAGTAAGACGGGCATGCGAGTTTTCCCAGTTATAGCTGGGGATTTTGGAACAATCGAAACTTAAAAATTGTAATAAAGAATATTAGTGCTACAATGAGGAAGCCTCCGATGTTAAGAGCCATGCATCACCCTTTCTCAACCTTCATTCAGCATATCACAAATATCTGAATTTGATCGATGGTTGATGGAGGAGCTCTCTTAGTAGCTTCTCTATAAAGATTTGGCTTAAATAGTATAGTGAGGGAAGTCAAAAATCAATCAGAAGCCTCAGCCATTCAAAGTCGCTGATCTAGATTCAAGGATCAGTCCAAATTGAGTTTAATCACAGTAAAGACAATACATTGTGTATTTCTAAATGCTCATTGTATTAGTGTATATATGGACAAATTAGTTAGTAGTAGCCAAAGAAGAACAATGAAAATAATCACCTGGATTATGCCCTTGATTCTCCAAACACCATGACAATTGACAACTATAGGCGAATCATCAGGATGTTGAGCTTCAACCTCCATCCTTACACTTTCACACGACACGTTATGATCCGTTGACAAACGTTCTGCCACCACCGAATTCCTCTTCCTATCAGAACCTCGGCTACCAAGCACTGCTCTTGAGTCTCCTAAATTCGCGACATACAGTTGACCATCAGAAATTGCACCGACAAGACAACATGATCCAACTGAAACAATCTGCGGTCTGAAAGGCAATGATTGCTTCACCAAACGAGTAAAATCCTCTTCTGTAGCATTAAATGCCTTCTTTATTACATCCACAGATAACCCTCCATGTTCTTTGGTAAATTCTGAAAATAGTCGAACGCGTTGCGGATAAAGAAAATAATATTTAAAGATTTTCTTTATTTATTGAAGGATAAGTCAATACTCAATCAAACACAGCCAATTTATACAAGAGGGCTATGCAATTCATAGAACAGTCACTTAACAATAAAAAAGGTTACTTAGAAACAAAAGCAATAATAATAATAAACAGGTATAAATGGTCCCAGATAGAAATAATAAGAAGACACAAAAATCTCACAATTTTAAGAATAAAAACTAAAACCCCTTTCAAAAATTTCCTTATAAAGTTCATAATTCATACCGAGAGAAGCGCAAAAAACACTTTAAACAAAAAAGAGTCACAAGTATACTCTTCAAACTCACAATTCATGTAGTACAAAAATAAAAAATACACACGCATCTCCAGATAAACAGCATCATCTCATGTCTGTATGCAATCATACATAATTACAAATAAGAAATGATAATCCACACACATTAAAATGGAGAAAACCCACAAAAAACAGAGCAAAAGAGAATTGTGTATGCCAATATTACTTCGTAAATAAGGGAAAAGGTGGCGGTTAACAAAAAGGGAGGCTTCAGGGCCTCCGTGTCCATCATAAACGCCGATGTAAGTTGCCGATGGCGAAGTGTAGACTTGGCTCTGGTCTTCGAGGCGTGAATTAGCCTGCACAACAGCTATAGAAAAGTCTCCAGTTGCGTGTGGCTTCAAATCCATGTGCCATAACAACCCATCATTCCGAACACCACAACATCTCTCCAATGGTCTAAAACAGTAAGATCGCAGCATCTTCTATATCGAGATTCTTCTCCTTATTTTTTTTTTCAAAATACCCAATTTTAAAGTATTTTTATGAAATTTTGTTTGTGGGTATACTATGATTATACAGTTCTGTAAGAAATTAAGAATCAACGGGTGGAGGTGAATTCTGAGGGGGTTTATGGGAAGAAACTGGGGGAGAGAAGTTGAAATACCGCGTGAGAAAGAAGTGGAACAAGAGGAAAAAAAAAATTGAAAAACACACACGGTTACAACACTTTACACTACGCGTTTTAGGTTTCCGTACTTCAAATCAAATGGTTTAATACTCTTTTTCTTACTTACCCATTTTTATATAAATTTTGCAAATAGTGAGAATTTTTTTAAAATGTGGTTATAAGTAAAGAAAAATTTTGAATTTAAGTGTAAAATTATTTTAATTAATTAAGATAAAATTAAAAATTAGTTAGAGAAAAAATGAAGTTTAAAGAATTCGAGGACGGAATTACTTTTTTTTAAATTGGGTATTACTTAGAAAAATTAATTTTACTTCTTTTGTAAGCTTAGTCAAAGTATTTGATACTCTCCAAAAATGCACATATTATTCTAATCTAAAAAGTTGGTTGTAGATCGACCCTCAATTTCAATTTTGGGCGGTTTTGCTCTTACTTCTTATTTAGGTCCGTTTGATTACAAGAATGAATTTGGGTGGAAAGAAAACGAATTTCAGGGAATTGAATTACTTAGAATTTGTTTTATTAGGGATTGTTAATTAAATGTGTTTGATTGGTAATTTTTACCTGAAAAATGTTGAAATTTTAGATATTTTGGTGTTTGTTTGACTTTATTTTTCATGTACATTTTTAATTAAATGGATAAATTTTTTTATAACTGTTGATAGAATTTGTTTCGATTGCCCCAAAAAAAAAAAAAAAAAGCTGGAAAAGCCATTTTTTCACCAAAACCCACAGAATTGGAATTCCTTCAAAACCAAGAAAATGAGCCCACATGATGGAGAATTGGAAAATGTTTTCCCTAGAAAATTTTGGGAATCCAAAAACTACAATTGGGGTGGACATTTTCCATGGAAAATGGCTATCAAATATATCCTTAGCTCCTATACAAACAATTAAACGAGAAAAATCATGTTTTTAATAGTGATTTTAGGAGAATGTATAGTCAAAAAGTAGAAAAATATTTGGGTTTACATGCAAAAATATTTTATTGTGTGAATGTGGTTGAATATATA